GTAATTTGCCAGGCAACTTAGCTTGCTATAATGGTAAGTGGCAGAACCAGAATTCAAATCCAAGCAATCCTACTTAAGAGGCCAGGCTCTCTGCCACCATGCTGTCTCAGTCTTTTATTTGGTTACTGAGGACTCTAATGAAACTACTTTCTTTGGTGTCCTTGATGCAGACAACCTCTAGTAGCAACCTAATTCTCAGTCTTCAGAACCCACTGCATGATTTTTCTGCTCCCTTCTGCCCTCTACTTCTGGTTCTTTTCTGAGTTCCTACTGTATTAGTAGTACAAAGTTGGAGTTTTTGTTTGTTTATTTTTACAGTGGGCCTTGGTGATCTCAGCCAGGCTCTATCCCACCATGGACTGCAGCTTGCTTTGGAGGGATACCTTTTTCCCACCTCTTATTGCATCAAATCAATCAAATTAGACCTTATGAAACAATATCCAGATTGTGTAAACTCTGTTTTCTGAACCCTTTCATTCGATAATATGTCTTGATGTTGCATGCACTCACAAGCCATCTTAATTGTAGCAGCCACTAATCAATCACCTAATGGATTTTGTGCATTGCTATATCGGTTGTGAGGTGCTTTCATGCTTGTGAGAAACATTCAAGAAGAGGAAACAAAAATAATACCGCATTGCTGGTCTGCAATGCCAGTCTGTTTATTTTAAACTTCTTCTTAATTATGCCATTGAGATGACAGAGGCATTCAAAAAATGTAAAAATTTGATCACATTAAAATGGGTTAATGACATTAGGGAAAGTTTCAGTAAGGATATGGCATTACTGGTTTTGCTTAGTATTACTGGTTCTCAAACATCTAAGAATCTGATTTATGGATATAGACCTCCTTGCTTGTCTTAGCCACAATTCCCATTCTCTACTGCCAAACATTTCACACATGATAGTTTGGGAGTTGAATGATATTCAGAGCACTCTTTATGCCAATGGAATCACTGACATCAAGCGTGAGGTAATTACCCTAGGGAAAGTGCTAGACAATAGTTTATTATCCCAAGTTGCTCCAATACAGATATCCTATATCACCATTTATTTGGACTTTATGTGGAAATAGAATGGACTTTAGAAATACGCAAGTTGCAATTAGAAGACATGTTTCTTAGGAAGAAATAAAAAGTCAAGTTGGGATTTCTTTTTATTGCAATGATTTTTAATAGCACTTTCACTATTATTGATAAATCGATTAATGAATCAATAATAATGTAAAATAATCAACAATGAAGCCTCATAAAGGCCATTCTATTTTCATATAAAGTCCAAATAAATGGTGATATGGGATATTTTTATTGAGGCAACTTGGGATAATAAACTACTGTCTAGCAAATTCCGTGGGGTAGTTACCTCAATCTTGATGAAGCCTCATTATTGATTAGTTTACATTATAATTGATTAGTGCATACTGATTTAATAATCCATTTCTACTTATTAGAATATAAGGTTAAAAAGCATCTAAGTTATTCTTAACTGTCCCCAGAGCCCCCAAAGTAAGCATAGAACACAATATGTGTACAATATACATTTGTTGATTAAAAGCATAAATACTCTATTACACCTTAAGAATTTGTTAAAAGAGTAGATTTCATGTTAAGTGTTCTTGCCAAAATAAAAGAAATATAAATATATAGTAAATGTGTTTGGTTTCAATGGAAATTTATCTCGGCATGTTTACTTCTTTAGAATAGTAAATATTTTAAATATTTACTTTGCAAACTGCAAAAATATTTATTATACTTCCTAAGATATAGAAATCATTGCCTAAAAGGGTCTTTCTCAGTTTAATGCTCATTGCCCCTTGAAGAAAATAAACAAAAGTCTGAATATAAAGAACACATTGAAGCAATAAGTTAGTGTATCTTGCTGTCAGGTTTATTATCAGCTACCAAGAATAACATAAGAAAAAAAAAATACACTAAGAAATGTGTGACTGGTGGTTGAAAGAAAACAGAAACTATAATCAAGACTTTATTCTTTCCTAATCTACACTAAAGTCTATGCAGTGTAGGCTCTGGCTTCATTACAAAATGCCTTAATTCACAAAGTCTGACACAATTGGTCATCTTCTTTCAAATAAAATGCCTTTTTATTCTGTGCCTTGCCAAAGCTTCATGGGGGCTGAGCAGAGAAGGGTGAAGCTGGAGAGCTCCGATTACCCAGAAAACTATGTTGTCACCCATGTTTGTCTCCTGTGCACACAGTCTCTGCCACTGCTCCTGTGCTCTGGTTTTCAGTGGGAAACATAATGTCACCTTGCTAGTCATGGTGTTGTTGCTTATGACAAGTGCCTCCCCCAGCAGTCTACCAATACCTGAATTCTTTTACATTCAGATGTTTAAATATCTGGGGAAAAAATTATAATAGAAAATGATGCTTATTTGTTAAATGTGATTTTCTTCCCACAAATTGATACTTTGCCAATAACCATCATTTTCTGCCACTCCTGTGGCAGGTAAGGAACATGGACTCTGAGGTTCAGATGGCCTACGGTTCAAATCCTGACTCCACCATGTATTTGTCATGTGCTCCTAAGATAGTGACTTAATCTCCATCTGCCTTGATCTCTTCATGTGCACACTGTGAACAATAATATTTGATTCACAGAACTTCTATAAGAAATAAATCAGATACTACCTCTAAAAAGTTCAGAATAATGCCTGACATTTTGTCTTTAGTTTTTAGTAAATAATTGTTGAGTAGTTTTCTTTTTATTAATATCAGATAAAATTTATGCAGAATACCGCATACATGATATAAAGAGGTGCTTTGGTGTTCTTGAGAACTAAATCCCCATCCTACCTTTAATTTTAATGATGACATATATAGCCTTTGATGTGGGATGTGGGAAGTTTTTCTATGGGGTAGAAGAAATGAGAAAGAAGTAAGGGATTTGGCTATTACAAGTAAGTGAAAAGTATAATGAGTTTTAGATTTGAATAGCATTTTAATGAAATTTTTGCCATGATGACTTCCAAATAACATTACATGTACAAACAGTATTTATTAATTGATTCATGTTCTGTTTTCAACCATAAAATGTTTATAAAGGCTGGAGTGCAACAGTTGTTTTCATTCCCAAGTATGTCTGTATTTTTTTATTTTATTTTATTTCATTTTATTTTATTTTTGAGATGGAGGCTCACTCTGCTGCAAAGGTTGGAGCGCAGTGACGTGATCTCGACTCACTGCAACCTCCACCTCCCGGATTCAAGCAATTCTCCTGCCTCAGCCTCCTGAGTAGCTGGGACTATAGGAATGTGCCACCACACCCAGCTAATTTTTGTATTTCTAGTAGAGATGGGGTTTCACCATGTCGGCCGGGCTAGTCTCGAAGTACTGACCTCAAGTGATCCGCCCACCTTGGCCTCCCAAAGTGCTGGGATTACAAGTGTGAGCCACTGCACCCAGCCTGTATTTTTTATTAAAAAAAAAATTAATGCAGGGCTTTAAAATTATTATAGAGCATTTTCTCCAGTAACAGAGACTATAATACACCCACCAATGCATATGCTAAATAGAATCCCTGGTTTTTTTTTTTTTTTTTTTTTTTTTTTTGAGCCATCAAGTCTGTCTTTATTTATTAAGTCCTCTTTATTTGTAAAGTCTCCAAAGACTTATTTATCCCAATAAATACAACATTTTTCTAGTAATACAGACAAATATAATTAGATAGAAAAAAACTAAAGAGATTTCTAACATAGCTAAGATATCTATCCCTTCTCAGTTAATAAGGAATTGAAGCTTTGATGTTTTCATATTGCATTTTACTGAAGTGTCTGCAGACATCTCTGCAAAGAAAAGCTTTTGTTTGCATCAGTGGTTCTTGCCTTTATTTTTATGTCTTAGTTTTGTTATTGGCATTAGTTGAGTTAGCATCTGGAAAATCAGAATAACTAAAGAATGAATGAAAATGGGTCTTATGTTATAGAAAGGCCATTATACTTGGAGTCAAAAAGTCTAGATTCTTGTCTTGACACCCCAATGATACCAGTTAATGCTTATTGAGTACACACCAGGGGCCAGGTCAGCCCTATTTATTCATTATCTCATTTAACTAAAGTAGTTCAACTCTAAAGTGATTCTCAGGCAACATGACTATGGCTAGCCTTGTGCCAATGGATGAGCAACCTAATTGCTCTGACTTTGTTTATAAAATAAAATCAGATAAAACAATGTCAAATGGTTATTTTAATAATTGAGATCATATATATTAAACTTCTTTAAAATCTCAGTAATAATTGTTAGCATTTAGGTATTTATTTTGTGCAAGACACAAGGTTATTCTTCTTCATCTCACTTCATCCTCCCCCAAACCCAATGAGGTAATTATTAAAATACTATCATTTAGCAGATGTGGAAGCAGATTCAAAAAAGGGTAACTGAGACTCATATCTGTCTGACTTGATCTCAAACTCTTATCTACTATTCTATCTTCTTAAAGCTGACAATGCTCCAGCAAGGTTAGTTGTATATACAGCTAATTCTTTGAGAATGTGTCTTACATATTTAGTGAGGTTTCAAGCTTCGGGAAAAAAAGTTTTGAGAAACTATCTCCTTAAACATTTTAGGCACCTGGTATGTGTCAGGCACTCTGTCTTATGGTTCTAAAGATGCCCCAACATCCCCTCAATCTAACAACAAAGAGGCCTTCAGATTTTTAAAAAATGTAGTCAGCTAAGTAATTATATACAAATATATACTTGTATACAAGTATATACTCATACAAAAGTATTAATAAGCTTATATATATTATATTATCTATAGTCTATATTCGATCATTAGCTTTAGTTATCGGTATATATGTGTGTGTATATACACATATATACATCCTGTGTATATACACATATATACATCCTGTATATACATTCTGTGTATATATGTGTATATATACATATATACACATTCTATATATGCACACACATATACATTATATATATACACACACACACACATTCTGTGTTTCTGTATAGCAAATTACCCCAAAATTTTGTGGCTTAAATCAACATTTTTACTGTCTCACAATCTCTTTGCATCACGAGTCCAGGCACAGTTTAACTGGATTCTGTGGCTCAAAGTCTCTCACAAGGCCACAATCAAGATATCAAGTGTGGCTGGGGTCCTCTTTAACCTCCACCGAAGTGGATCTGCTGCTAGGCTCACACACACGGCTGTTGGCAGGATTCAGTTTATTGCAGGCTGTTGGCTCTAAGTTCCTTACTATGTGGGCTTCTCATGGGGTAGTGCACAGCAAGGCAGCTGGATTCTATAAAAGTGAGCAAATGAGAGAGGAAGAGAGGTTGTAATTTACTTTCAGATGTAGCCTCCTGTCACTTTTGCTGCATTCTGTTTATGAGAAGTGAGTCACTGGGGCCAGCCCACACCCAAGCATCCGCATGAATACCTGACTTTGGGGATCACTAGGGACCATCTTATAAAGCAGCCCACACAAAGAGCAACTCATCTTTTGTGGTTGTTGGAGTTGTTGGGAAAGAGGTAGAAGAGGACTTTAGTTGAAGGTGAGTGTTGAGAATTGCTAGCACATTCTCAGCCTGGAATATCTAGTAAAGATTCAGTAAATAATCTGTCCCCAAAATAAATTAAATCCTGAGTGCCTATTCAGGTTGGCAACATCCTATCCCATTATCTTTTCAAATGACTCTTAAGCATTGTATCTGGAATTCTGAGGACTGTGATAAGAGTTCTGAGCAGCAGCTTAGTATGGACAGATCTGTACTTTGTCATCACTCTAGTTGCTCAAAAAAACTTCCAAAGCTGGAAAGAAAGAAAGCACCTTTAATGCTTTATTTGTACAATGTAAATATTTGTAAAATGAATGGGTGAATTTTATGGAAGAAAGAAAGAATAAGATGAAAGGACAAAGAACAAAATATCAAATTCACAAACTGTCTTCACGCTTCAATATCTCAAAGATTGAAACCTCAATATAAATTTGTTGAATGACGAATCATAAACAAAATATAAAATATATGCTCACATAACATCATATATCTCTACATTGACTGCTGAAGTAGAATTAAGTGCTGCAATGAAAACTCTGGGGGTATAACAAGGAAATATGAATTAGTGGAAGTCAGAATAGTACGAAGGAGTAAAGAAATGTACAGATAAACTCATATACTATAAGAAAAAAAATGTGATACTGAATGGATTTAGGGTTATTTGTATTTGTAATTTAGAAATAGTGTCTTGGTCCATTTTCTGTTGCTTATAAGAGAATGCCTGAAACTGGATAATTTATTTTTAAAAGGAATTTATTTTTTACAGTGATGGAGGCTGAGAAGTCCAAGGTTGAGAGGCTGCATCATGTGAAACAGAGCCTTCTTGCTGGTGGGGATCTCTGCATAGTCCCAAGGCAGCACAGGGCATCGCATGCAAGGGGACTGAGAGTGCTAGCTCAGGTCTCTCTTCCTTTTCTAACAAAGCCACCAGTTCCCCTTCCATGACAGCCCATTAATTCATCAATTCATGAATTCATAAATAAATTAATCCATCCAAAAAGGGAGAGCTTTCATGACCCACTCACCCCCACTTCTCAATACTGCAATACTGGAGATTAAATTTCAACATGAGTGTTGGAGGGGACAAATATTCAAATTATAGCACTTAGTAAAAAACAGAAAAAACTGAATTCAGAATTTTGTGAACACTGAACACGTAGCAAAAACCTACTGAAAGAAAATAGCCAAAGCTTGCCAGAAATAAATTTCTTGTAACTTCTGTTTTTGTAGCTGAATTCCTCACCCTTCCCCTCTATCTACCTATTCATCTTCATGAACGTTAGAAGAAAATTTGAGTTGCAGAAATAGTTGAGAGAAAAGAGCTAGAGTGAGAATGAGAGAGAGTAAGGGAGGGGCAGGAGCATTAGTCCCTGCTGCATTCTTGTTCCCTTTCCCTGTTCTTGCTTCCTTGGCTAATTTCTCCACCCTCACAGCCTAACTAGTGTTCAGCTATGCAGAAATCTGTCACACCCTTACTAAGCTGAGGGTTATGCCAGTCCCAGGAGAAGCTGCAGGTAGAGAGAAGGACGAAAAGGACAGTGTGGCAGGCTGTGTTTGGGAATAGAGAGCCGGGGGGAATGTTCTTATGTCACTATAGACTCCATATCTGCCGATTACTATGTTGTTGCAAACAATCAATTCCTTTAATTCTTCATCCTTTAAGTAGTGTTTTTACAAATGCAGCGCTTTTTTTTTTTTTTTTTTTTTTTTTTGCAAACCACAATTAGTTTTCAAGCAATTTATTGGGCTTCCAGACAATGAAGAGTTTGCCATTCAATACTAGAACAAAGTAAAGGTAGTACATGTTGAGATCGCATTTACAACGTGCAAGTAAAGTGCCAGCTAATGTGTACAGTTCTTTGCCTTCATGCAAAGAAGCTTTCCTCTCATCTCTACCAGGGAATGCTCTAACAGCATGATAAGATATTGATTCAAGATTTAAACAATATTGTCTCTGTCATGCTGAGTCTGGTGCCAGAGGGCTTGAGTAAAGGGTGCCATATGTGATGTTTTGTGTACATTTGTGCCAAGAAGGGAGACTTAAACATAGGAGATTTCAAAAATGATTTCATTTGCCTGATTAGTCAGCTACAACTATACATTCAAATAAATATAGGCTATCAAGTATGATGCAAGAAGGAGAATATTTTGTTTGGTAATACATAGGGAAAAAATTACTGGGAAGGTGGTATCCAAAACCAAGGCTTAGAACTTCAGACGATTTTATATTCATCGTTTCTGAAGGAAGTCCTGAATAACATGTTCTACGTGATATGCAATATATTTCATTTAGGATGTTTCTGAAAAGCTTGGGGAAAACCAAATATACTCTTTTACATAATGAGAAACAATGCAGATGTTGACACTACTTCTTTGCTGTTCATGGGGATGCATTCTTTTTTACATAGATTTGGTCCTCAGGCTGGCCCCATGTTGGGGTTGTAAGATGGCTACAATAATTAAAGACATCACAGCTAAATAGGACAAAGCTCATAGGAATAGCGTCCAATTCTTACTTGTAATTATCTGTTATTGAAAAAACCTTCCCAGAAACTCCCAGCAAGCTTTCATTCACATCTCATTGGATGGCAATGTATCACATGCCCAAGCAAAACATATCAGTGGCCAAGGACCACCATGATCATCTTAGTCAGGTAGGACGTATGCTCGAATCTGGGGATAGTTGTCCTCAAGGGAACAAGGACATGTGGAAGGTGGTAGATACCACCTTCCACAAATTAAGGTTACCATCTTTTGCAAATCAAGGTTAAAAAAGGAATGTTGGGGGTAGAACTAGTTGTTGGATATACATCTAGCAGTGTCTACTATAAAAGCAGTCTTTAAAAAAAAATTCCATACTTTGGGAGGCTGAGGCTGGTGGATCACGAGGTCAGGAGATCAAGACCATCCTGACCAACATGGTGAAACCCCATCTCTACTAAAAATACAAAAATTAGCTGGGTGCGGTGGTGTGTGCCTGTAATCCCAGCTACTCGGGAGGCTGAGGCAGGAGAATCACTTGGACTTGGAAGCTGGAGACGACATTGAGCCAAGATTGTGCCACTGTACTCCAGCCTGAGCAATGGAGCAAGACTCCGTCTCAAAAAAAAAAAAAAAAAAAAAAAAAAAAAAAAAAAAGGAAAGAGAAGAAATAAGAATTCAAAGTCAAGTACATTTATAACATTTTGGGTTTAATTTTATTTCAAAATTTCTTTGCTATGGAAACTTTAGGGTACTTTTTTGATGCTCATGGGCTTTATAAATCTACAAGTTGGGGTATAACAGGCTGCATTTCCCTTTCTGTTCTACATTTTTGTTGTTTCTACTGTTTTATCATTATGTTATAAACTCATATAATGTGAGCGTTCCACAACTTATGAAATAGCACTAAAGAGCTGTAGCGTGCAGGTGGTATTCATTTTGGTCTCTGCACATCCTTTTTTGTCTATGAAAAATTATCCTATTTATGAAGTTTTGTGACAATTAAGTTTCAGTTACGGCAATAAGATTTGAGAATGCTGCATACCTGCTTTCTCAGCCTGGCTTGCAGCTAGATTGCAGAGAGTTTTGACATGAGATGTGGAAAGCCAAAAAGAAAACAAGAAAATCTCTCTCCTCCCCACCTTCCTCCTCCACCTCCTCCCCACCTTCCTCCTCCACCTCCTACCCGCCGTTCTTCCTCCTCCACCTCCTACCCGCCGTTCTTCCTCCTCCACCTCCTGTCCGCCGTTCTTCCTCCTCCACCTCCTGCCCGCCGTTCTTCCTCCTCCACCTCCTACCCGCAGTTCTTCCTCCTCCACCTAATACGTGCCACTCTTCCTCCTCCACCTCCTACCCGCCGTTCTTCCTCCTCCACCTCCTACCCGCCGTTCTTCCTCCTCCACCTCCTACCCGCCGTTCTTCCTCCTCCACCTCCTACCCGCCGTTCTTCCTCCTCCACCTCCTACCCGCCGTTCTTCCTCCTCCACCTAATTAATACGTGCCACTCTTCCTCCTCCACCTCCTACCCGCCGTTCTTCCTCCTCCACCTCCTACCCGCCGTTCTTCCTCCTCCACCTCCTACCCGCCGTTCTTCCTCCTCCACCTAATACGTGCCACTCTTCCTCCTCCACCTCCTACCCGCCGTTCTTCCTCCTCCACCTAATACGTGCCACTCTTCCTCCTCCACCTCCTACCCGCCGTTCTTCCTCCTCCACCTAATACGTGCCACTCTTCCTCCTCCACCTCCTACCCGCCGTTCTTCCTCCTCCACCTCCTATCCGCCGTTCTTCCTCCTCCACCTAATACGTGCCACTCTTCCTCCTCCACCTCCTGTCCTTTCTCCTTCTTCTCTTCCTGACCCTCCCACCTGCTATTTTTGTAGAAACAGCAATTTTCTCAGCAAACATGATCTGGTATAAAATCTAGGGTGATTTTTCCAGCTGTTTATTGTATGCATAGTTGTCTAGCCCTCCTAATATTTCTGTGAGCTAGCCAATGTCTTTTTAATAAGTTTCTGTTATCATTATTTTAGGGTGAGCCAGCTTCTGTTGATTGCAACTAAGAAGCAGGACTGTTACAAGGTACTAAAGCAGAGAATAGGACCAGTAAACAAAAAAAGCACTTTAAACAGAAATAAAATATATTAATAAATGTGACCACATGGAGATTAGTAACCATAGAAGGTAATGATCCATTCCAAATAATTAGGCTACCAGGGAATTGAGAGTCATTCTGAATTGTCAAGGAAACATTTATATGTTCGAAGAGTTTTGTTCCAAAGGAGTTCATAATTTCAGTAAGTTTACATTTTATCATGAATAGCTTAACAACTAAACATCACCATTGAATAGCAGAATGACAGGGGAGAAATATTTTCAATCAAAATGTTGAGAACCACTGCTAATGACAGATGAATTCAAACTAAGCCAAAGAAAACTCTAAAATGATTGTATAGGTCACTGGGAAAATAAGATTTGATTGATAAAAATCTGTTCAGAGGACACAGCAAGCGGATAATGAGGTCAGGAGATGGAGCCCATTCTGGCTAACATGGTGAAACTCTGTCTCTACTAAAAATGCAAAAATTAGCCAGGCGTGGTGGCAGGCATTTGTTATCCCAGCTACTTGGGAGGCTGAGGCAGGAGAATTGCTTGAACCTGGGAGGCAGAGGTTGCAGTGAGCCAAAATTGTGCCACTGCACTCCAACCTAGGTGTCAGAGCAAGACTCCGCCTCACAAAAAAAAAAAAAAAAAGAAAGAAAGAAATGAATAAATTTTATAAATCAAATATTGAAGTGTTTAAATTTGAAGAACATACTCAGGAATTTCAGAATTATATTTAAGTCTCCAGTGCAATTATTTTCAGATTTATTTTCCCCAAGAGATTCATATAATTTAACCATGCTATTGCACTTTGCAAGTTAAGAACCGTTCTTCTCTTTATAGAAAGCATTATTAGCTACCATCACACATGCTTAAATTAAACTCAAGAATTTTTATTTATTTTTAAGACAAAAAAAATTGGAGAGAACTAAAAAAGAAAAGAAAAATGTGTTCACAGCTTCAGTATTTTATCTCCTAGCTAAAAATTCACCATACATGAGACTATACATCAGAATTTTAAAAAAATCTAACAAGTTTGAAGAAAATGGGAAATCATTCTTAGCATAGAGCCTAATCTATCATGTCTTGGTTAATTTCTAATGGTGAAATAGCACTAAATCAAATATACAGTATTCTGTTTCTTTTTACTAAGATTGACCTTATAAAAACAAAATTATATTTTTCTAAGCACTTTTCATTGGACAAAAATGAATTTCTTCTACAGTTCCTCATTAGGCAAAAATGAAAAATGTTCGTATAAAACATGGACTTGTGTGTGATTATCCAACCAAATAAAATTATTACTGGCAGGCAGGAAATAATGACTTTGAGATAATAGCTGTACTGAATCACATGACTTATGCAAATCTTTTATCATTGGTTACTATTTGAGTCCTGTTCACATGACTTATGCAAATCTTTTATCATTGGTTACTATTTGAGTCCTGTTCTGATTCTTTTGCCTTTCCAGTTTACATTAAAAGGAGCTCATTTCTCATAGGTCAGATTCTGTTTTTATTTACAAAGGCTAAAGTCCTAATCTAATTGATTACTTGGAAATATATATCAAGAAATTATGTTGCAATATCAGATTTTGACATTAAATAAATTTCAGAGTCTCTTTCGTGTCTTATTCATTTTCTATAAACATTTGTATATATATTTTTTGAGACGGAGTCTCGCTGTGTTGCCCAGGCTGGAGTGCAGTGGTGCGATCTCGGCTCACTGCAAGCTCCGCCTCCCAGGTTCACGCCATTCTCCTGTCTCAGCCTCCGGAGTAGCTGGGACTACAGGCGCCCGCCACTATGCCCGGCTAATGTTTTGTATTTTTTAGTAGAGATGGGGTTTCACCATGTTAGCCAGGATGGTCTTGATCTCCTGACCTCGAGATCCGCCCGCCTCAGCCTCCCGAAGTGCTGGGATTACAGGCATGAGCAACCACATATGGCCAACATTTATAGATTTTTAAACACTGATTTCTCTAACATGTATGTACACATCTCAGCAGAAGTAATTGCCCCCCCCTTCCAGTACATTTCTTGTGTCATTATTTAGTTTTTATTTTTTATTTATTTTAAAATTCGCCTACTTCTCCATTTTTCATTTGTAATTTCAAACTCCTGCTAACAAATCATTAGCTACTAATGCAACCTGCTTCCTGGCACATATAAATATGTTCAGTAAATATTTGTTAGGTGAATAACTCAATAAGTAATAAAATAACATACCCTACTTCTTTATGTTTTATTTTGCATTCCAAAGAAATACTTCTAGCAATAGAAATATTCCCTTGAGCTACTTTTCTTCCCACATTCAATCTTACTTTTATATGGTAAACTGTTTAAGGACTTCTAATTATGAATATTAAGATGAAGTTCTAGCCAGAGCAATCAGGCAAGAGAAAGAAAGAAAAGGCAACAAAATAGGAAAAGAAAATGTCAAAATATCTCTATTCACAGATGATATAATTCTATAGCTAGAAAACCCTAAAGATTCTGCCAAAAGCCTCCTGGAAATGATAAACAACTTCAGTAAAGTTTGAGAATACAAAGTCAATATACAAAAAACAGTAGCATTTGTATACACCAATAATGTTCATGTTGAGAGCAAAATCATGAAATCGTGAACACAATGCCATTTACAAAACAAAACAAAACAAAACAATACCAAGGAACAATTTTTTTTTTTTTTTTTTTTGAGATAGAGTCTTGCTCTCTCGCCCAGGCTGGAGTGCAGTGGCACAATCTCAGTTCACTCCAACCTCTGCCTCCTGGGTTCAAGCGATTCTCCTGCCTCAGCCTCCTGAGTAGTGGGATTACAGGCACCTGCCACCACACTCCGCTAATGTTTATATTTTTAGTAGAGACAGGGTTTCACCATGTTGGCCAGGCTGGTCTCAAACTCCTGACCTCAGGTGATCTGCCTGTCTCAGTATCTCAAAGTGCTGGGATTACAGGTGTGAGCCATCGTGCCCAGCCTCCAAGGAACACATTTAACCAAGGAGATTAAAGTTCTCTACAAGGATGCTTATGAAACATTGCTGAAAGAAATCACAGATTACATAAACAAATGTAATAACATTCCATGCTCGTGTATTGAAAGAACTGATATAAAAATGGCCATAGTGCCCAAAGAAATCTACATATTCAATGCTATTCTTATCAATCTACCAACATAATTTTTCACAGAGTTAGAAAAAAACTATTTTAAAATTGATATTTTACCAAAAAGGAGCTCAAAAATAGCCAAAGCAATCCTAAGCAAAAAGAATGAAGTCAGAGGCATCACATTGCCTGACTTCAAACAAACTATAAGGCTACAGTAATCAAACAGCATGGCACAAAATAGGCACATAGACTAATGGAATAGAATAGAGAACCTAGAAATAAAGTGGCACACCTATAGCCATCTGATCTTTGACAAGTTAACACAAATAAGCAATGGGGAAAGGAATCCCTATTCAATAAATGCAAATGGAATAGCTGGCTAGTCATATACAGAAGAATGAACCTGGATGCTTATACTTTTCAGCACACACAAAAACTAACTCAAGATAGATTAAAGATTTAAGTGTAAGACCTCAAACTATAAAAATTCTGGAAGAAAACCTAGGAAACAGCACCCTGAGCATCGGCCTTGAAAAAGAATTTCTGAATAAGTTCTCAAGAGCAATTGCAACAAAAACCAAAATTGACAAGTGGGACCTAATTAAAGAGCTTCTGCACAGCAAAAGAAAAGATCAACAGAGTAAACAGACAATCTACAGAATGGAAGAAAATGTCCATAAACTATGCCTCTGATAAAGATGTAATATCTAGAATCTATAAGGAACTTAAGAAGCAAAAAACAAATAACTCCATTAAAAAATAGGCAAAAGACATGAACAGACACTTCACAAAAGAAAACCTACAAGTGGCCAATAAACATATGAAAAATGCTTGTTAGCACTAATCATCAGAGAAATGCAAATGAAAACCACAATGAGATACCCTCTCACACTAGTCAGAATGGTTATCATTAAAAAGTGAAAAAAACAACAGATGCTGGCGAGACTATAGAGAAAAGAGAACACTTATACACTGTTGGTAGGGATATAAATTAGTTCAGCCACTGTGGAAAGCAGTTTGGAGATTTATCAAAGAACTTAAAATATTTGTTTCTATCCCCTCTTATTTCCTTGAGCAGTGGTTTGTCATTTTCCTTGAAGAGGTCCTTCATTTCCCTTGTTAATGTATTCCTAGGTATTTTATTCCCTTTTAGCAATTGTGAATGGGAGTTCATTCATGATTTGGCTCTCTACTTGTCTGTTGTTGGTATATAGGAATGCTTGTGATTTGTGCACATTGATTTTATATCCTGAGACTTTGCTGAAGTTGCTTATTATCATGGATAGGAAGAATAAATATCATGACAGGGGCCATACTGCTCAAAGTAATTTATAGATTCAATGCTATTCCCACCAAACTACCATTGACATTCTTCACAGAATTAGAAAAACCTACTTTAAATTTCATGTGGAACCAGAAAAGAGTCCATGTGGCCAAGACAATCCCAAGCAAAAAGAACAAAGCTGGAGTCATCATGCTACCTGCCTTCAAACTATACTACAAGGCCATAATAACCAAAACAGCATGGTACTGGTACCTAAACAGGCATATAGATGAATGGAACAGAACAGAGACCTCAGAA